GCGGCCAGAGCACTCAGAGCATCCAGAGCTTACTGGGAGACAAGTGGAAGACAAATGGGAGACAAATGGAAGACAAGTATAAAATTTTGCGGCCAGAGCACTGAGAGCATCCAGAGCTTACTGGGAGACAAATGGGAGACAAGCGTGAAATCATGCGGCCAGAGCACTGAGAGCATCCAGAGCTTACTGGGAGACAACTGGGAGACAAGTGGGAGACAAATGGGAGACAAGTATAAAATCATGCGGCCAGAGCACTGAGAGCATCCAGAGCTTACTGAGACAAGTGGGAGACAAGTGGGAGACAAGGGTGAAATCATGCGGCCAGGAACACAAGCCCGGAGACAAACTCAAAATCATCCGGCCCGAGCATGCACCCCTTTAAAAGGAGTAAGAACCCCTCACAGGTAAACCTGTTTGGGGAACAACCCTGGGAGTCAAAGACTATAAAAAGAATGGTCTTTAGGGGACCTGAAAGGGAACTTCCTTTACTTCAGCCGGTCAAAATATAGTCTTTGGACTTCTAGGGACAAGGCTGCTACAAGATGGCTCCTCAAAAGAATGTCTCACAGTAACAATGTTCATCGATGTTCTAAACGGCTCCTCAAACCATCTCTCATGGGCTCCAAATGAGCATCACACGAACAATGTTGATGACCACAAACAGTCACCTGCCCTAAGGAACCGGTTTGCTTGACACCGCACTCCTGGAAGCCGCAGCCCCTGTCAAACAGTTTTTGGAAAACGGGCCACAGCCGGTGGGAGGCACCCCAGCTCCAGCATGTTCCAGCCGTTTGAGTGGCTTAGGTTTGACCCAGCCAATACCCACCACCGCGAACATCCAATCTGACTCCTCCATCTCTCCCACCTCGAGAGCTTCTCGAACGATCTCCGTCCGGCCGTGGTCCAAGCAGGTCCGTAGGGCTGCGTCCATGTCCTTGGTGTCTTCACCTCGTTCGGGTGGCGCCGTGGGTGTCGGACCCGTCCGGGGATCGGGCCATGAGTCGCCCCCAACGAACGAGAGGGACCAGGGGGGATCGGGCCATGAACATCTTGGGAACTCGCAATGCGGACATGGACAGCTCCGGACCATTGGGGTATATGCTCGTGCTCCCATAAAGGATCTCCAGTGATGATTCTCCCTCTTGGAAGGTTACAGGTTCACATCGTTTTTCTGTTTTTTCCCATGAACTACAAGATACGCACAATCTAAGACCAACGCCGGGAAGCGTGTGCATGTGGATTCTATGTATAACTAGCACAAAAGATTCATGACTCATGAATCATCATGACTCATGACTCATCATGACTCATGACTCATCATGACTCATGACTCCATGACCACTCTACTACTGCTGCCACGTCTCCCATATGTCTCAAGCACGCCCTGGCAAGCCCTGCATGTCCTCAGACAGGCTGTCAAAGGCATCCAGGCGATGTGCTTCGTTCGGTTCTCAGATGCTTTCATTCGCTTTGAGGGCCTCGCGGAAGGGGTGCTGAGTCCTATATTCATCACACTGGATCATTGGAATCATCCTCATCTGTCGAACGACTTGCACGCACGACATGTCACGCAATGGACTCTGTTTCTGAACTCTGTTGTGCGGCCGCGACAACTAGTCTTTGGGATTGCACATCATTAGAGACTTCGTTTCTTGGCAGCTCATGACTTGTCGCACCGATGAGGTAATTATGTTCATAATGGCCGTGACCCTTGGAACATCTGTTGCTTGGTCGGTTCAGCCTCCACCCTGCGCATCAAGTATTAACAGCCCCGCGAATCGCTCGCCCAAGCAGCCCGCGCGTAGCGCATAGTCCAGGAGCAAGCGAGGCTTACAGGGCATCTGGTCTCCACCTGAGGCGTTGGTTTCGTGACGCTTGGCGTTTGATGCGTCGTAGAGGCGAAACGAAGGACACGGACGGTGCCCGGTGGAAGAACGCTTCGGTCAAGTCTCATCGGCACAGACAGACATGGGTCGTGTCTGGCGATTTGGCGAACCGGAAAGAAAGGCAACTTCCCCCAAAAAGAAGGGACTCGGCCAAGAGGGAAAAGGACAAAAGACCAAACCAGGAATGTCTTGACTTCCACTCAACGGGTGGTACACGCTACTCGGGGACCCGCGTGACTCGGGGGCCAAAGGCAAAGGCGGCATTGTGCCAGAGCCCTCGAAGAGGCAAAGTCAAATCTGCCTGGTCTGGGTGTGAGGGACACTAAAAATCACAATGTCTTTGGGACCAAAAAGGGTGATTGAGAGTAGATGCCACGGCACAATCCCCCATCAACAGGCGGTCTATATAGTCTATGTAGACCCCCATCCGTCTAAGACATCTTGGGGTGCCATCGAACCATTAAACACCACTGTCACATCTTCTTGATCTCACAATACCCCACTTGCCTCCCCACTGGCCGTCCCCACTGGCTCCGCCAAGTCACGCTCCAAGAGCGCAGTGAGAACCGACCAAGCGCCAGCGCAATGGGCCTTCCGCGCCCAAAGACCGTCAGGTTCCGGCGAGAGAGTCTCCAGTTTGCCCAAACCATCTGCCAGCAAACGATCTGCCACTAGAGGCATGCGCTCCTGCGGAGAGAAAACATCCGGATCCGTGAGGAGGTGACCCATGTGTTTTTCCGGGTCCAGGTGGGGAGATGTGGGGAGTCAGGCTAACACAAGGGAACTTGTATCCCTAGGGCCCTAGGGATCCAGTCGTACCTTCTCAGAAGGTACGACTGGACCCTCCATACCTACATAACAGTGTCTCCAATCACCGTACCTGAGAAGGTACTTGGATCCCTAGGGTATGAACTTGTGGCATCTGCCAGATTCGCATGGCTTTTGGACTCGTTTAAAGGAGGGTGAAATCGGTCGTCGGGACTTGGCCGCCGAAGGATTTCCGGTTTCGGGCACCCCACTCACTTTCCGCCTCTCAGCAGCCCGACACAGGTGCGTCTGAGGGTATTCACGCACGAGGAGATATAGACCCCCGACAGTAGATCCCCACACAAATTGTGTTGGAAAACGTGCCACTATCTACTTGGGGACCACTTTGTATGACACAAAACATGCGACCAAAAGGTACGACGTTGACCCAAACGCTTCTACGTAGACTGCCCCAGAAGACCCCTTTCGATTCCGTGGATCCATGGTCATCCACAGTTGGGGCTTCAGCAACTTCTGAATTCCTCTGATTCCTCCTCTGGTTCCTTCATTAGCAGGATCAACCCAACAAAAACACTCCATGTAAGCACCAAACCTAATTACTGTATCCCAAACATTCCATGTATGGCATATTGACATCATATTGACATACGCTGGGGTGGTTGACCCGAAGTCAATCTAGGCGTTTATACCAGTCCCATGGAGTGTCTGGCAGCCTGGGGTAATTATGTGATATAGAAGCATATATTAAGCCAATTTAAGCCATGTTCATGGACTCTTTGGGTCTTTGGTCATTCCACTGCCGCTTTCTCGCGAACTGTTCTTTCGTTCGTGAACTCGGTTCTTACGCCTCGATGGCCCGTGCCAAGAGCTGCGTCTTGTTGCTCTCTGCGGCTACAAAAAGATCCTGAGGATGAACAACGGCAGGAAGAAACGGCAGTGACTACGGTACTGTGATGCATGCTTTTGGTAAGTAGGATTCTGTAGGGGTTGGCTGGTCGTATTGAAGGATGAGGTGTTGGCACTATGGGTGGAGTGGGTGAAGTTGCCAATGTTTACAAAGGCAATGGCTTTGCGCCGTGTCCCTGAGTAGAATAGAACCACAAGTCTTCTCCGATGCCAAGGGTGCTGGATGCTCATCATCCCGATTGGAATTTGGGTGTTCACCTTTGCTAGGGCATAGGGGTTTTGAAAGCCATTTTGGCTTGGGCAACCCCATGTTCCAAATCCTTGGTCCTCTCCATCGTCCTCACATTATCGGGCAAACAACGCAAACAAACACAGTGGAGTCGAGCGAGTGGAAACCTATGCTCGAAAATCCTTGAGCTTCGTCAATTTTAAGACTTTAGAACAAATTGTGCTGTTCTTCTGACATGCTCTTTGAGTGAGTTCATCCCACAGGATACAATGTTGCAAAAAGAAATGGCAAAGAGTGCCACTTCTGCTAAGGCAGCGAAGCTGGGTGCTTCCTTGGAGCGTGGAGAACATATGACTTCATGTTCACCGAATGCGAACGTCGAGGACGCTTGATATACCAAGCACACGACCAAGCACCACCTAAAAAGACCTGCCTCAACATCTACCCTTTTCCCTTTCCTTTTACAAGGTGTGACAAATGAACTTCCGATCTTAGCAGATCTTCCGTTCGCGCAAGATCTGATCCCCCCTGGTTGGCCACAGCCCAGGCCTTATAAGTTCGGTCACGAACGGTCATGTCCGCCATCGGTCGCCACCCAAACTCCTGAACAAAAGGACAACATAAGTGGACCCGTTCGATTAGAAAGACAGGTTGAGCAAGGTCTTCAACATCCCTCATCTTTCGACCACCTAAGGACCTAAGGTATATGCTGGTCAGGTTTCTGAAAGTACCTGGACCCTCCAAAGTACTCTAAGATACTGGGACATGACTGACCCATAAAAGCAGGTACGGTTCAGGTATTTACGCCCCTTCCAGGTCCAGAACCCCAAGGAACACATGAACAACTTCCTTACAAAAGCCTGAGCCTACCCTCATCACCATTGGCAGAACAAACACATTGGCCTGAAACGACCACTCTCAAAGCACTCCCACTTCGCTTCCGCTTCGCTTTCGCGGGACCGAGCGTCCCGCGCCATCTCCGCGCCGTTCTCCGCGCGTTCGGCGTTCCGCGCTGCGAGCAGCGTGGCGTGGGCGCCCGCCGAGAGGAGGAGCTCGACGACGGGACGCAGGCCTTAGGGAGCGGGGATGGTTCCAATTCCGTCCATGCAAGTAAAGAGACCGTTCAACGGTTCGTGTTTGGACACCCCGAATCACCATCCGAATCACCTCTAAGAGGATTATCTTGGAAGCCAAGTAATTACATCCAAGTACCAGGAGCTTTCAACGTGTTTGGACATCCCAAAAAAACCTCACCAGGGGTTTCACCTTTTTCAATCATGGGGGGCCCTTAGGAGCCCCAGGAACCTTTGGAGAAGAACCACCTCTACAAACCTGGACTCTGGAACCTCCAAGCCCTCAGGGTTTTCCTACGTCCAGCTGCAGTTGGACCTCATGGCCAAGCAACGAACCACTTTCGATAGGGCCCGGGGCGGGTTCAGAAGGCACATCCTCACGCGCTTTGCACACCTTTCTCAGAATTTGGCAAGAGATTGCGGTGGTTTGCCTCGACCCATCACTATAGTGGATCAACTAGAATCAACTAAACTCCTTCTCCCCACCTGATTACTAGTTGAATTAACCAGAATCTGGGTGAATCAACCTGAATCTTGGTAGATCAACCAGAATCTGCTTCTCCATCTCCGTTTCCTTCACCCTCTCTCCAAAGCACCCATCCGCGCTGCGGTCTCCAGCGCATGGCTGGCCTCTCCTCGGCGCGGGCGGACCGCGTCTCACTGGGTGACAGCTCACTCAGCTTCGCACCAGCTGGGCTGGCAGTCCGCCAAACAGGCGGACTAGGCCCCTAATGGGGGGTTGATTCATGTTGAGTACAGTATGTTGATTCAACTAACTACGGGTCATTTTGGTTGAGCCACCTGCGCCCAGACTTTTGAAAACCCAGACTTTGGGGTCCTCTGGGCTACCTGACATCGAAGGCCTATAATAGAAGATTCTGGTCTCTGGGTCGTCCAGGATTGATTCTGGAGGTCCCATTCACCGGGACTGGTCGTCCTGACGAAGAAGAAGAAGATTATACCAGCGTAGACCCCAAACAGAGCAATGTTCAAAAATGAGATCTCCGAACAATATGGCCAGCAGTATGTCCTAGAGGAAGAAAACTGTAGTCCACCATGTAGACGCACATACAAGATTCAAAGGGAAAGCATTAAAATTATGTTTTTCATTGACTTTACAATGGGACGCCGTACAAGGGCTAAAACATGAAATTTATGGATCCAGGTTGTCACTCAGAGCATCCAGAGCTTACTGGGAGACAAGTGGGAGACAAATGGAAGACAAGTATGAAATCATGCGGCCAGAGCACTGAGAGCATCCAGAGCTTACTGGGAGACAAGTGGGAGACAAATGGGAGACAAGCGTGAAATCATGCGGCCAGAGCACAGAGAGCATCCAGAGCTTACTGGGAGACAACTGGGAGACAACTGGGAGACAAGTGGGAGACAAATGGGAGACAAGTATAAAATCATGCGGCCAGAGCACTGAGAGCATCCAGAGCTTACTGGGAGACAAGTGGGAGACAAGTATAACATCATGCGGCCAGCGCACTCAGAGCATCCAGAGCTTACTGGGAGACAAATGGGACACAAGTATAAAATCATGCGGCCAGAGCACTCAGAGCATCCAGAGCTTACTGGGAGACAAGTGGGAGACAAGTGTGAAATCATGCGGCCAGAGCACTCAGAGCATCCAGAGCTTACTGGGAGACAAGTGGGAGGGAGACAAGTGGGAGACAAATGGGACACAAGTATAAAATCATGCGGCCAGAGCACTCAGAGCATCCAGAGCTTACTGGGAGACAAGTGGGAGACAAGTGTGAAATCATACGGCCAGAGCACCCAGAGCATCCAGAGCTTACTGGGAGACAAGTGGGAAACAAATGGGACACAAGTATAAAATCATGCGGCCAGAGCACTCAGAGCATCCAGAGCTTACTGGGAGACAAGTGGGAGACAAGTGTGAAATCATGCGGCCAGAGCACTCAGAGCATCCAGAGCTTACTGGGAGACAAGTGGGAGACAAATGGGAGACAAGTGTGAAATCATGCGGCCAAGCACTCAGAGCATCCAGAGCTTACTGGGAGACAAGTGGGAGACAAGCCTGAAATCATGCGGCCAGAGCACTGAGAGCATCGAGAGCTTACGGGGAGACAACTGGGAGACAAGTGGGAGACAAATGGGAGACAAATGGGAGACAAGTATAAAATCATGCGGCCAGAGCACTGAGAGCATCCAGAGCTTACTGGGAGACAAGTGGGAGACAAGGGTGAAATCATGCGGCCAGCGGCCAGGAACACAAGCCCGGAGACAAACTCAAAATCATCCGGCCCGAGCATGCACCCCTTTAAAAGGAGTAAGAACCCCTCACAGGTAAACCTGTTTGGGGAAAAAAGAGGAAGAAGAAAACCCATCACAACAAGTCGGTCATAATTAAGTTCATCCCCCTAGCTCGAGCTTCATAATGTCACTTGGAAGAGCCTCGCAAGAGTGCCTAGTCGATGCACCCTTTGCCCTTTGATCATTTGTGGGCAAGCGGCATTCCGCCCTAGGAGTTGTTTGGGAATTCTCCAGATGCCGTTCATTTTGGCTATTTTAAAACAAATCAAGGTTTGTGTCTTTGTTGAACCAAGGGTATCTCCCATAATCATGCCTTGGCCTGGACCCCTTTCACAACAAGCATGGGTCCAACCGCTCCAGTTCCCCGACCTTGCCCGGCCCCTCTCGCAACCCAGGCACGGGAGGAGATGGTGTCAGGGCCCAACTCTCGAATCCCGAAGATTAACCTCAAACAGAAGCGGATCCATAGGATCTTCTTCGGATTCATTTGAACCAAACACAAAGGATCTTCCTTTTGAACCAAAGGATCTTCCTTTTGAACCAAACACAAAGGATTTCAAAGGATCCATTCTTTGCAATTGAAGCAAACACAAAGGATCCATTTGAAATTCCTCTATTTCCAGTGACCACGAACCGCTAGACTTCAAGACGGTTGATGAAGGACTAAGTTACAAGCTTGACCTTTTAACAACTCGTTGAAACACTACCGGTGAGGTCAAGGTTTTGGCAGAAGGGGTTTCTGCATCTCCAATACCACCATCTTCTACCATGGAAACATATCCAGTAAGGTATTCTGCCCAAAAGTATTGAACGTGATGGAGGATCACGTGATTCCCTCAACTCTCATTGCGACTTTACACTGATCGACAGTCCATGTGTGAGGTTTGCCCCTCTGCCATCTACTATATAATAAGTGAAATATAGTGAAATCTGTGATTGTCTCTGTGGCGGCCTAAGATGATAGAACATAGGAGTGCTTCCAGAATCTGCAAAGGCACCTGGTCCTGGCAATGAAAGAATTCAACAGATTTTGTCTCAAAGAAGAGATCCAAGTTGATCTATATAAGGTAATTGTTCTGTCAAATAAGAGACAATCAACTGTCATGTGATAGCACACGAAATGCCCCAGCTTCCATCCCCACCATCCAATCCATGCACACATCCAAACATCTCCACCTTTTTTCATGTGTTTTTTCTTTAACAAAACAGAGTATGTCAGAATAAGTATCATAATATTATTATAATTGTTTATCGTATTGTATGTCTTTATTCTACACATTAAATTATATACTATAACTAATCTATATTATAGATCGAACTATTATTAGATTAAACATAGAAATACAACAGAAACCCACCCCACCTCTTCTCCTTTCTGGGAGGTCTCTGGAGTCTCCGAGACGGGTCGTTCTCACCGAGCCACTGCTCCATGTCCTTCCCCTCGACACCCGCCTCCACGGCGCGGCGCAGCATCTCTCCCGCTGCCGCCTGCAGCGCGGACACCGCCGTGCGGGGCACCAGCCGCAAGACCTGGTGGCGGGGTGCGTCTGTTCGAAGAAGCCGACGGAGTCAGTCGACTGAGTTAGGTTTGGTCTCAGTGGCAGTTGGGTCCTGCAGTGGCAGTTGAGTTTTTTGTCGCAGTAGACGGTTCCGATTTACGGTCGCTTCCAGGTGTGGTGGTGGGTCGAACTCGATGGCGGGCGGGGGGGCTGACGCCTCATTGGTCAGCGGCTGGCTCTTTTTTTTTGTTTTTCGAAATGACACACTAGTTGAGCCAGCACTGCTGTGGGCTGCTCATGTTGAGAACCACTCTGGAACGGCCCCATGGTGCACGTGGAGTTCACCCCCTAGTTGTAGAGGAAGATGATCTTCCAAAATCGGGACCATGCCATCCACTTCCATTTCAGCACAATTCAAGTGGGTAGCAACAGCTCCAAAAACACCTTCATCAATCATCCTTCATCTTCACCTCCTTAAACAAGCGCTTCGAATCCCTTCGGATCTCGCCGAAACCGGTCGGTGCTTGTCTCGGTCTTCACCGCGATCGATCCGGCCTCGAGCATGGCAGTGCCATATCTGCCCTTGAGATCAGAGGTCAACGTCACCTCCCACCGCATCGGTCCCGGTCCCGGTCCCGGATCAAGAGCAACCGCGCAAGAAAAGCAAGACTAGAGCTGCATGTTTGGCATGTTACCATCCAAAGTATCTAAAAAAGACTCGATGCGTTTGCTCGTCTCCTAAGACCACAATTCTTGACTCTCCTGCACCTACTGTTGAAGTAATGATCACCCAAATGGCTGGGGCCTTCTAGACTTCCAAAATGGACTCTTTGGTTTTCAAGCCCAAAAACAACCTTCACCTACTCCCACACATGGCTATAGTCTACCTGCGTGTACCTGCTACATGCACCCGGCCGGTTCCGATGAAAACCGGCTGTTCGGAGCCTTGGTTCTCATCAGCGGGACCCGAGAGACCACTTCATACCTGGCTCGGACCAGAAGAAGCGGCCCAGGACGCCGAACCCGCGCCGAACCCGCGCCCCCCAGCGGCCAGATTCCACCGCCGGGGCCGCCGCGAGCGCCGCCGCGAGCCGGCAGGGTTCTTTCGTGTTCCGTTGCAAAAAGGTGGCTTTTCTTGCGTCCCCAAAGAGTCCTGTTCAAGGATGAAGGACGTCCCTCCCTAGGTCCTTCCGAAGTTCCCAAGGGCTTCCACCACAGCAAGCGCTCGTTGTGGGGCTGGAATGGGAACCTTTCAGTGAGTGGCGACACCGGGCGATTTCTGGAACAGATCTGGGCCTTCCCCAATGTGTATAGGACATCCGTTTAAGTGGTGGAACAGCAGCAGAGTTAAACTTACGACTCTGGTGCGAAAATCTGTGTGGAGGTTGAAGGCTGGTGCTATTGAACGAGGTTACTTGTCATTCCATAATGCAAGAAACAGGTTCTAGGTTTGGACAAGAATTGTCATCAAAAAAACACCTGAGGACCTGCGCCCCTGGACAATCTGTTTGGTAAGAACGTGGAACAGGTTCCAGAACGTTGAGCCACAAGGAATAGATTGTTTTCTGTGACCCTTTTTACTGAGCATGCTGACGTATGCTACATATGGCCGTATGGCAGTATAGCACCCCAGCAAGCAGCGCAGGAAAGGCCCAGCCAGGCTCGTATTTCTCATTGTGTCAACTCACCAAGCCAAGTCGATCAAATCCGTCTTTATGTTACAGTAGGGAGTCCCTCAAAGGTGGCGCCCCAAGAGCTCCTGGAAGAATAGACAACTAGAGTCACTAGAGTATACTTGAACTTAAGATACAACTAGAGTCACCAAAGTATACTTGAACTCAATCAGTTGAAACACACTCCGATTCTTTTTGAACTGAAACGAAGGACCGAAGGAGAGACCGCCCAACGAAACAACGAGACCATCCACCCAGTCTGACCAACTTCTGGACCCCGCTTCGATCCCCAGAAGCACTCCAGTCCCCGTATATAGGGCAGAAAACCAACACGAGCTGAGCACCCTAAGAAGGCCCGTTTTCTGGTGGTGGTGGTGGTGGTGGTGGTTGAAACCGCACAACCGCACCCAAGCGGCCAAATCTCTTGGGCAAAAAGATTGCTGGCTGGACGTCTGTACCTCAGGAACGGGTGATTTGGAACGGACCCGTTTGGGCTCCTGGCCTAAGGGCCTGGTTCGGGTGGGTGCCAGGGGGTCTAACCACCTTCTGATCGGATATGGTTGGAGCCCCAGGTGAATAAGTTCACACAACAAATCACTTCAGAAAGCTCCAAAGAAAGATAAACATTCATGGAACACCATGGAACATGGGAATTCTCTTGTGGAACTAAACACTTCAAATCCCGGATCCAACACATCACTGTCATCACATGGAACTAAAGGATCCAAAATGGGCAGGACGCACTTCTCCTTAAGCGGCAGCGCTTTGTTTGGCGTGTGTCCACGCCTCAGAACGTGCTAAACTAGACCAGCATCACCAGCAGGGACCCAATGCACATACATCAAGTTGCATAAACTTGCTGAACAAATACACAAACACTATATGGATTTAGCTTTAGAGTAAACAAATCTCCCTGAAACAACAACAACAACAACAACAACAACAACAACAACAACAACAACAACAACAACCACCACCACCACCACCACCACCACCACCACAACCACAACCACAACCACAACCACCACCCCCGCCGCCGCCGCCGCCACCGCCACCGCAACCACAACCACAACACCAACACCAACAACATCAACGGCAACGGCAACAGCAACAGCAACAACAACATGGGTCTTCTTCACCCATCACTCAACCTGTTTGATCTATGGCTGCAGGTGACAACCGGCCTACCTGGTGTCGGTCGTTCGCTTGCTACATGGTGGACTGATCGGGCTCCAGGTTGAACAACCCAGCCCCATGACGCCTCGCCCAGTTGCAACTTGATTCGAATCGCCCAGGGCTCCGCCGCGCTCACGTTGGGCGCGCCGATGGGGATCTCTGCAATGGCCTTTGGGTTGGAGCCACCAACAAATTCCTCAGTCTTCAACTCTTCGACGGGGGGGTCGCGTTGTCAGCACTATCAGGTGTGGGAACATTTGGAGACCCCCATGTGTGACCTTCGTCGAGACCAATCAACGACCAGAGGCTGATGATGGCACGCAAATGGCTTTAAAGCCAGGGATGGCCAGGGAGGGGACAAAGATGGACATAAAGGCTGGGATATGTTCCCGTTTGCAATCAGACCCCCCAAATCGTTGCCAGACAGGTCCAGGATGGTCAACTGCGACAGGGGGTGACATCCACATAAGACCAGACACCAATCTTTCCGCCTGGACATTCCCTTCGTTGCAGGTCCAGTCTGACCCGTTTGACCCAGTCAAAACAATGTAAAGCCTGGTTCTTTACTAACCTCATTGAGTCATGTTTGACCGGTACATTCATGCTTGCTGTTGCTCAAACGTTGCAGGGGTGCCACGTGCGTATGACTAACGTATACTAACGTCTTGTGGCAGGGCTGCTATGACCGGCTTCTGAAGGAGACAGTTGATCTGCTTGCTTGGTAACCAATTAGTGACGAGTACGATAAAGTCATCCCACAGTCAAGGAAAGTTCAAGGGAAGAAACTTTGGCAACTTCATGATTCATGCAAGAGAAAATTTGGACCTTGGGGTGGCCAAAAAGCACCCTATGGATCCACATACCTTCTCAGAAGGCAATTGGACCCTCCTGGCGCCTACATAAATAGTCTCCAATCACGATTCTCAGGTTCGGTATGTGGATCCATAGGGATACATGTCGTGCCCAAAAGCATGTGACCTCACCTTCGAAGATGGCCATGCCATGTCTTTTTGATGTCTCATGACTCACGCGTCAATCAAACCACTGGAGTTGTCACATTCCGGATTTTGAGGGGGGTTTTGGGATTTCAACGGAGATCCAAGAGGGGCTTCATCAGCTCGGTAAAATGGTTCCTTTGTGTCATCTCCGGGGGTTCCAGGGGTCAGCAACGGATCAAGCGAGCTGATGGTTGAACATTAGTTGAACTCTTCTCTTCAGAGATGTGAAGATCGAACAAGGAAGGCAGAAATCCCACGAACAATCGGATCTGCCGGTGGGGAACTGGCACCTCGGAGACCAAACGCGCGGGCACGAGGTTAAAGGCCTGACGTGTGACACTCGGTGTTCTCTCGCACGCGAAGATGCCGCAAGCAAGTATGGTGGACTGGTGAACGTGAACAGATGGTGGGTCACGACCCATCCCCATCTGATCGGGTCCAAGCCTTGAAACACGACCAATTTGGGACCAGAATAGATGCCGCTCCAGCGACCTCCGTCAACCACCACAAGGTAGGTCAATGTGCTAGGCCCATGGAATGGTTGGGATAAACATACCCCAAACACGACCAGTTTGGGACTGGCATGACTCCCGATCGGTTCAGGTGGTTGAAGTTCGGGGTCAATGATGGTAAATGTATCCTCGAGACGCAAACCCTCCCAAAACAAACGGAGGTTTCTTTTGGCTTCGACCCTACAAGACATGATATACCAGGAGTCACATGTCGGGGGTGGTGTTTGGTCCCATCCAGTGGATGTGACAGGGGCACCTTATCCTCCAAGTTCGGCACACCGAGCTCTCTGACTCCTGGTCAGTAACCTTCTTGTCCTCTTGGTGCCTCTCCTGCGAAACTGGCCTCGTCTGCGAAACGTTCGTCCAGTCCCCACCGGTCTCAGAGAACGGACATCGGCTCAGCGTCCAGGCGAATCTCGCGCAGGCGTGACTTGTCGGGGCCATCCTGGGTGACGACACGCCACGCGTGACGGGTCAGGTGAACGATGGAACTGCGGTTCCGCATCGCCACATGAAAACTGAGAAACCATCGCCATGTGAATTGATTGGCGTCTGTGCTTGCAAATCATGATGGAACGTGATGGAACCTTCAACTTCAAAGCCAGGTGTCAAAACCTTTGCCTTGGCAGGGTAGCAAGACTCGAGACCGTTGAGGATTTATGCTGAATTGGAGTGGGTGATGATCTGAAAGCCTGGTCTCGTTGCTTGAACGGTCGCCTACAGTAGAGCTGATGCTATAGAGGCTGCCGGTCAAGGCGATGTTAGTAGTGCAAGTACACTTGAGTAGAATAACCTGCATCTCAAACCTGATACTCTAGTCAAAATTCATCCAACAGTACTTTTCAACTACCGATGATTTGTCCAAGTGCTTGAGCAGTTGTGCATATGGTTTTCTTCCAACGAATGCAACCACACGATGTTCGACTGAGGCGCCACAACTACGTCCCACTCCCACCACACGCGCCGCATGCGCCGCAGCTTCCTTCGAACGATCCGACTCGATGGCCAAGGAGCTCCTTCGACCAAGGCCGCCTGCGGACCGACATACGCTTTACACCGCAGGTGTTCTGCGGGGATGCCGTGGTCCAGACGGACGTCCTGGCGCAGCGGCCCAGGGACGGAACGGTCGACCTATTTTCAGGGCTCCAACCATATCCTCAGGTGGTTGCGCCTTCTGATCTGCTTGGAGCTCGGCCCTATATGCACCAAAGAGCTGCCACATCCTCAAGCATGCTGAGCATCCCTCAATCTCAATTGGGCTAATAATGCCTATACATTGGACCATGGCAAGGATCTAGAAATCTACGATGATCGCTATTTCATGCTTTTTAGGACCCAAGGACTCAAGGTCTCCATGCCAGGCTTGATTCACTTCGCCCCCCGACCCAACTCCGCCACCCAACCCAGTCCGAAAACTCGATATAAATCTTCTCTTCAACGCCCGGTGCTAAGACCTCAGGTGGCTCGCCGTCGCCGTGTCCAGGGCAGGTCACCTCCTCTCCTTTCGCTCCAAATCCTCTGAAGAAAAAAAGGGGCAGATTTGGTTGGTTCCTCGCCAATTACGACACATTCCCGCCTCCAGGTGTACCTTCGTTTCGAAGGTGGGACTGGGGGTGGGTGGTTTGGAGGGTCTAAATACCTTCTGAGGAGGTACTTGGAGGTGTAGGGATTTTACCAGAGCAGTGTTATGAAGGTATCTTCGAACATGGAAGGTTTTTGGAGGGAACTTTTCTCCCAGTTCTTCGAATTGGTTGGATTCTCCATTGCCAAGAATGTGGATGCTTTCAGGTGTTCCGCCTTCAACCTCTTTCACTTCAGCTTTTGGCCCAAAAAATATTGGAACAGCAAACATCAGATCTTGAAAAGCATCTCTCCAGCAAACCCTCCGCACTATTCATTCCGGTAGTGAAACTGGGGACCGACCCACATAATTAACAGAGTCTGTCCAATGATGCCCATGACTCTTGAACTTGGATTCGCTCCAGGAACCTAGGAAAACTACGGAAAACTAAAGCACAATCCCGCGAAGAGATCAAAGAGGATCCACTGACAGGTGGAAACTAACAATCACTCCAAAGCCAGCCCCGAGTGCCACAAAAGTCGTGCTTTGGTTTTTGTGGCCGGGTTGCAGCATGAGTGAGATGGGACAACGGCAGAGTGTCCCCAGTGTTCTTCGATGCAAACGCGCTCGGATTCCATGCTGCAACGACCGGCGGCCCTCGGCTCATAGCGCTTGAGAATCAAAACGGTCTCAGGCATCCAATGCTGCGGACCCGCGTTCTGACCAGCGTCCTGACTTCGATCGTACACGAAGCAGCATCGCAGCATTCAGGTGTGAGGAACCGAGAATGAGACGAACTTGGAAGAACAAACACCTTCTTAACATGTCTAAACTACAAGGTGAAGCATGTGAACGGGGAAGTTGACTGGAGACTTGAGCAAATAGAGTCATAGAGGACACAGGACACGAAACACGAAGTTGACATTCCACGCTGCCATTATTAGGGATTGAGCATAGCGGGGTGATGCGCACAGATGTGGCATGTTCTTGTTTTGAAGGGTAAGGGCATGTCTAACTCCTGTCTGCATGGTACGCAACAACTCATTTCTGTGGAAGGCCAAGAGCTGCTCTCACCGGCTCCAACCATCTCAAAGCCGGCACACACCGCAACCACCGAACACTGAGGAATATGGTTGGAGCCCGACCGGGTCAATTCTTGTTCCCACGTCTGCCAAGTGGAGAACACGAACGAACCCAGCGCAGCTTCCTTTCCACGAACCCTCGTGTGTCTCGGTTGAACGGTGTCCGGAAAAACCGCGGCGTGAACAGCGCAGCGAACGACTCTGGGGCGGGTTGGACTCTGGTATCCGAGCTCTCAATGACCCAGGGTGGCCTGGGCAAGACCGGTACGGCGTACCGCTCTGCGCTGCGCTGAGTGCTGGAAGAAATCATGTCAAGTCTTCAGTTTCGACTTAGTGAATGGGCCTTGCGCTCCTTAACATGTGCAATTGGGAGTGAGAAATTGACTTGAATTGATGGTTGCTTGCCTGTGGACCTCAAAGGACTACAGGTCTCAATTGGTAACCTCTTGGATGGGGTCTCCCTGAAACAATCATGGAAGTGTAACATAGGCCTCTGGAAGATCATGTTCCTCTACAACGGTCTGCTCAGCTTCCATGATTGTCTGAATGGTCAGTGTGCCTACTTGCCTCCTCACTCTACCCCGTTTCAGCCCTTCTCACATCTCTCCCTTTTCGATAATCAACACCTGCTGGCTATGGCCGGCTGCCTGCCCACTGCGCCCAATGCAGGGTGAAGTTTATACCACATGCATGATGCGTTGGTGTCGACAACTTAGACCAAGTACCTGCAGTTCCTCAGAGTCATCCACACACACACACACACTTCTGCAAAATGGATATGGGCCTTGAACACCTGTACCTGTTGCTGTTGCTGTTGTTGGTGGTGGGGTAGTGGCCTGCCTGTCTGCCTAGTGTTGCACCCAGGGATTGAACCCGAGTATGACGCATTCCTCATGCGGAGCCACACCGGCCCATACCGGACCTCTGGGGTCTTGAACATCTGACATCCGAGCGTCATCCGACAGACTCGTCTGATTTTGCCCATCTTTTGCGCTCAGGGAGCCCTGCCAGTTCATGACTGCAATCACCAGAACTGTGACCTCGCCGGGTCGCGGCGCGGGGCAAAGTCCAACGCGTGGAAACGCGAGGGGCTTGGGACCCAGCCAGGTACTGCTTGGGACCCATCAAGGCTGCAAGTCACGATACTATCGCACATGGTATATTGCAGGTGGTTTTGGTCGTGCCTCAAGGGGAATAAACAACACAAAAAACAGATTCAGAGCAAACCCCGCCACTTGCCAGCTGGCATAAGCCAGCTGGCCTAACCCGACCTGCGCTTTGCTGGGTCCAACATGACAACATGGAAGTGGACAGCATCGCCCCTGGCAAAAATGGCCAAAAACAACAGCAAAACACACACACAAACGATCAAACACTTTGCCACCCATGTCTTTTACCAAATACCAGACCCCAATCTTCCACAACGGACGCCCGCGCGAGTACGCTGCCCATGGGACGCCCGCGCCATCAGACCAATTCCCAGCAAACGGACCAAGCTTCGCGCCTGAGGCAAGCGATGAAAATGGAATCGACGCGGAACAAATGCCTGATTGACTCAGGAAGATATGATGGAACATGTGTGTATCTTGATATCTTGACTTGATGTATAACATGTGTGTATCTTGATGTATTGTATCTTGATGTTGGATGTGACATTTAGATTGGACAATGTCGTCTTCTCACGTGTGGAAGCAAGACACGTCGAAAGTGAGAAACTCCAAACCCGTGAGTGTCTTCCACATGTAGACGTTACGTGTTGCATCAAACGCGGCTGGATGATCGGTGTGGCGCATGTGATCGGAAGCCTTACTTCTATAACTTCTACCAAACCCATCCAAGTCATCAGCCGTGCTCGTCTCCCAATCCGTGCTCGTCCTCTTCCAGAGTGGGAACGTGTTGCGACCCCGCCACGGGGTAAGGAGTTCTTCCTTTTGAAGCGGACCCGTTCTTCGAGCCCGCACAAACGGCGGTGGATCCCCGGCATCACGGGGCCGGAAGCTTAAAGGAGCCCCTGGCTCAAACATCAGCGCCCGAGATAGCTAGCAACCAAAAACATAACTATAAAGATGAAAAGACATGAAACAGAAAAAACATATTGGAATCTGCCATATGGAGATATATGGAGGTTGTATTCTTGTTGCTCAAACAGGGTATCTGAGTCTGCATCGCAGGGTGATCCAGTAGACGGGTGATCCGAAAAACGCCCGACACGGTGTTGGAGGCTCCCAGCCGTGTAGGCTGCTCGGCTGATGATGCGCTCGGCAGGCCTAGGAGACGAGTCAGTCTGCCGATGTCTGGCTTCGAAAGCAACGCCGGCTTCTTAGTGTATGAAAACGCAGAAAGAGCGCAGCGGCCATCATGGGCCTCTTTAGGCAACATATGAAAAAAACATCATGGCATCATCTTGAGCGTCCCACTTAGGCCGTTTCCATGACGTCATGGCAAAAATGGAAAAACAACAAACACAAAAAACATCATCAAAACACTATATTAAACAACAGACGCGTGGAGCGAACTAAGAATGTGGCGACTGTACTTCTCGTGGGTCATCCCCTGAAGTAAGGGATGTGTCATCTGCATGGGACACGTACCCATGTGTGCTTGCAAAACCCATTTATGGGTGTGTATATTTTAATAGGGATTAACACAATCTATCTACGTTCCTTCTTCCCGGGGCTGGTTCACACACACTCCGATTGGGCCATACTTACAGAATACTTGCAGCGAGGATCTTTTTGGGTCAAGCTGCAGGCTCCTTCTTGCGTGTGATGGGCCCTGAAGGATGATCATCTTCGAATTCGGACTTGTGGGAGGAGTCACCAAGCTTCCAAGGGCACTATTGATGTGACTCGCAAGTCAGGAAGAAGGCTTCTCACTTGATGGGCACCGTCCTGCGGTAGTTCCAAAAATGAAAACGAGATCTGTTTCTCCGTGCACATGCATTTGAGGTCCAATCACGGGGTGGTTTTGCTACGTGGATCTGTCTACCCTCATATTCGAGACAACGTTTGGCTGGTATCCAGCCAGGTTGACTCTGAATCCAATGTGTCGATCCAAACAACCTTCATTCGGCAGGTTCACTCCAGACCGACCACTTGACGCACGACCTACCGATACCGTGCGATTCGCCCGCGTCCCTTTGGGCCCTTTGACAGTGGGGGGTAGCAAGGACTGTTGGTAGCAGGGACTGTTGGTAGCAAGCAGGAGCTTTCATGACTTTTGGGACCGGAGGACTTTTGGTTGTCATTGTTCTGGCTCCAGGTTTCTGCAACCCATCCCCGTTTCTGGGTACGAGCAAGTCCTCTACTTGGGCCAACAAATTGACTATGTCCTCCTGTCCCACCCAAAATGGAGATCAACTACCTCAACTGAACAGGGCCCCAAGAGCTCATGGGTAAAGAGCATAAAGAGCCCATCGTGAAACTACCTGCTTGCCTGGGCACAAGTCCCATGTTCTGCCGATATACCATAGAGTTGGTTACAACATAATCCGGAATGGTTTATCTCTGACCGGCTGCGAGTTCGCGGCATACCGTACCCAGCATAGCAGTGTAGCCTAGCTAGCGCGTACACCCTTATCGGTAATGGTTCAAACGGATTTGCACAGATTCTTGCAAGTCTGGGTAAGCAACTGCAACACTG